TGAGGATAACACCCCTGTTTTTTTGTTTTTCGGGGGGCCTCTTCTCCAAAAAAAAAAAAAAAAAAAAAAAAAAAAAAGAAACAAAAAAGAAACAAAAACTTCAGGGCAAATATTTCTACCTGTTTGGTAAAATGACTCCTAATGTTTTATGTATGGACAAATCGCAAAACTATGAAGAAATCAGGAGAAAAATCATAAAGGATTACACATGAAGCGTTTAGATCAATGATAGCTTAAAAGAATCGTTTGAACAGAAAATCACCAATACAGCTCCAGAGTGAAAGTCCCTGATTGACATGATATACAAGGCTAGACAGTAAGAGTGAAGCAGCGAATGAAATCAACAGGTGAAAGTGTGGAATTTCCTTCGCTTGAGGAGGTAATGCATGATAAAGACAATTATGACATGACAACGCGTGGCAAAGACCGTTAACATGGAGCCTGCAGCAGCAGACAGACTAAGTCTTTACAAGTTTTCCAAATATACAGGAGAAATCATAACAAGAAATGCTAACGCAACTTTATGTGGACTTGTACTCTACGTACTTAGAGTGCAAGTTTATTTTTATTAATTTAGTAAATTGTGGCAATTAATTAAGAGATCAGTTCCCTTTAAGTATAATATAGAGTACTGGCAGAGTAATAGCAAACATAGCGCATGTCACCGCAGTGCTGTAAATAGAATTTCTCTTGATTTGTGTTTCCAGTCGCCGCTCGGTATCACACAATTCTAAAATCACATCTCTCACAGCAGAAGCCTGGCCCTTACCCTCCGCTGAAGACCTTGGCATCACTCTTTCTGTAGGTCTAGAATGGACGGCAAGTTTAACGCTCTGCACCTCGGCAACCACTTGCGCTACACTTTCCTGCAAACTGTTAAACTGCTTTTGTAAACTCCCCAGACATGAACTGACTTGTTTAGTGTAGTTTAGCTGTTCATTTAAAGGAATCAAGAGAGAATCTATTTTTATGGAGTCATTCCTGTCTTCTCTAGTTAACAAAGCACCTTCTTTTATTTCCTGTGATGTCCTTGTTTGCAGCACATTTTTCAGGTCTGCTATGACGTCACTGAGATCCTTCTGCTGTAAGTAATGGCTGGACGCCTGTTCTTTGATGGCTTCTTGCAGATTTATTGGGCCCTTCTGTGCTTCAAGCACCAAGACTTTCAATTCTTGCAGCCTTACTCGATTAACATAGGTGGAACCGAGAACACCTATAATGGCTCCCAGTACAGAACCAATAATCGACCAGTTCTTCGTTTTTTCAGCTCTTGTTCGCTCTTTCTCATGGCTTTCCCTTACAGCTGCAGAAAAAAGAGAGAATTTTTCTCTCTCGGATTCTTCTGCATTTAAATATGCAGCTCGGTACCTTTTCTCTTCCTGCAAGAAATACAGTGATTTGAAGGAGAAGGTATAACATGAAGCTATAAAGTCTATACTAAAAAAAAAAAAGAAATCCCCAAACCCCCCAAGCCCCAGTGCAGATGAAGGAATGGAAATGAGGAACATCCAGTAGTTCTGCTTCAGAAATTTTCCTTTTAATGTAGGATTCTCTTTATTAATCCTACTTAAGTGAACAAGACATCATTTTAAGTCAAAGCTGAGAAATGCAAAAGGTCATCAGGAATTACAGCTGAAGATCCTCCACACAAGGATCTGTCGCACGCTGATGACAGAAAAGGGGTATGAGCGGGCAAGGTCCTTCTCGCCCTGTAACGTTCACTTTTTCAGCCCTGCTTACTTCTTCAAGCACTACCTTTACCACTCTTCTCCCTTTCAGTTCTAAACCCCTTGAAAATGGGAACTAAAAATAGGATTGGAAAGGACGTCTTGGATAGATTGATCTCATGGACATAGACACTTCTTATTCCTCTGCCTTCTCTTTCTTACCCTGCTCACAGACAAGTGTCTTCCCTTTCTCCCTTCTCATCGGCCTCAGCATGGCAGTTCCTTTTGTAAGCAGTTCTATCTCAGCAAAATAGGGGAAGGTTTTCTGGTTATCTTCCTGCAGTAATATTCTGCTGTGTTAGCAAAGGAATCACTGCTGTTGGTAGCGTTGAGCTTGTCTGTCAGCTAACTGCATCTCCCAGAATTATTCTTACTCTTCTGAGCACATCTTTCTTTCAGAAGGTGGCACCACCACCTTACGGACAGCGGTGACTTGAGTTTTTACCTTTCTTCATAGTCACACAGAGCTCTATTCTTTTTGACGTCTCATCCACACAGACCTGATCCCTTATTTAGACAGCTACAGATCTCTAGTTCTTTCCTGATGTTTTTCCCACTGATCCAGGAGCTCCATTTAAGCTCATGCATGGGTACGCGCTCTTTGCCTAAGCTTTGCCATAGGTGTATGCCTGTTTCCAGGCCTCTTCCTCGCTGTTCCTACGGATTTCCTGGATTGACTTTGGCTGCTACCTTCCCTTTCTCTGTGACTGATGGACTGTTGATGAATGTGCTCCTGTCACCAGCCCTGCTTGGCTCATCCAGCTGAGGTGCCGTAGGACCGTGTCTTGTTGGTGAAGATACTGCCGCTGCCTGTGCTGCGGTCAACCTCATTTTCTTGCTCGCCCTCCCTCACGGAGCAGCCTCACCCTTGCTGCTCCCTGAACAAAAGCTGCAGCGAATTGTCTGGGTGCTGCAGCCACATAGAAGGCAGTCGAGTTTTCATGGATTAACAACCAGAAAGGAGCCTCTCTTATCACATGGGAGGTTAATTCACTGAATCCCAGCTTTTTGTTGACTACTCATGTACAGATCACCACTCAAACAATTAATTTTCTAAGCTCATTATCTTCAGCTTTCTTCTCCAAATTTGCTGCCCTATTTTAGCATTGTCCTGGTTTCAGCTGGATAGAGTTAATTTTCTTCCTAGTAGCTGGTATAGTGCTGTGTTTTGGATTTAGTATGAGAATAATGACGATAACACACCGATGGTTTAGTCGTTGCTGAGCAGTGCTTACATTAAGTCAAAGACTTTCCAGCTTCCCATGCTCTGCCAGGTGCACAAGAAGCTGGGAGGGGGCACAGCCAGGACAGCTGGCCCAGACTGGCCAAAGGGCTATTCCATACCGTATGGCGTCATGCCCAGTATAGAAACTGGGGGAGTTGGCTGGGGGGCAGCAATAGCTGCTCGGGGACGCGCTGGGCCACACTCAGTGAGTGGGGA